TATATGAAGACTAAAAAAATGCACCCCAAAAAATTGTAAAAATTTAATAATAAAATAATCAAAATTTCAGCATCAGCTATTTTCAGTATCAGCTGCGACAAGAAATAATGATATACTTGTTATGCAAGAAGCCTTATGATACCACTTAACTATATTGAGTATGTTACTATATTGGGGAGTATAGTTGTTAGCATAATTACCAAATTTAATATATTAAAACCTAGATTCCAAAGTTGCAGAAAACCAGCTAGTTATAACAGCATGCAGGCTTGAGATACTTACTCAATTGGGTAAAGACAGCTGTATAGCTTGAGATACAAATTTCTAGAAGTACGCTAGTAGAGATTAAGAGAAGTTTCTCTATTAGATACACCAAACCAGAAGCAAAAAGCATTTATCTAAAGTAACATACACCAATTTAGAAGTTAAGTTAATAGATAATATGAATAATATAGTAAACATGTGAATACTAATTGGTGATTGAAGAGAGAAGTACAAATCTAGATTAGCTATATAGTAGAAATACAAGAAGGCTTTGTAAGTTTTAGCTGTAGATAAATAGTTTGTATAACTTGATATTCTAGTTCTAGTTCTTATATATAATATATATTTATATTAGCACCATCATATATCAATCATTTAAGTATTAAATAAAGTCTGAGGCAGATGTTACACCCTGAATATTAAAAAAAAAAAAAAAAAAAAAAATCTATAAATGTTTATTTAAATCTGACAAATAGACTTAAAATATATTAAATAGTATTATTTAACAATTTACTATTTAATATTATCTACAAAGTAATATTAAATAGTAAAAAATTATTAATAGTATATATATTAAATAGTATTAAATAATACTATTCAATATATATATAGTATATTAATTTTTTACTAGTAATATATATTTATTTTATTAAGCCAACTAGATATTTACTTAGCTATTGTTCTAAATAAAATATATTGTTTAGATTTAGAACTGTTTAATTATCAGATAGTCTATATGAGAGAAATACTAAAGAACTTTTGTAATCAAGCTATAATTAATAAGCTTGATTAGTATTTATCAAATATTTAAAGATTTTTAGAATTAAAAATATTTAGTAAAGATCTAAAAAATATTAAAAAAACTGAGATCTATCAACTCTCTCTATCGATCACTATAACCAAAATTCTAGAGAAAGAAAATTAAAAAAAAAACTAGCTAAATTACTAAGTTGATGAAAAGTTTACACCTAGCTAGAGTTGTAAAACAAAGTAGAAACAATAACTTTTATTCAAATATTATTTTAATAATCTATAACATATAGTATAGTTTACATCCGAAATAGCCTTTTAGCCAAAAATTTTATATTTTTTGAAAGAAAAAAAAAAAATGGGTATACTCTAGTTTGCAGATCTTTGTATATTATACAAAATAAACAAATGTGTAAACATAGCACAAAACAAATAGTAACCAAATAGTATATGTATAACTGGTATTTGAAACAAGATAATACTTTAGAAGTAAACAAGTATATTACAGGATGACATCACATGATAAACAAACTGCAATAGCAGAGTTAAATTAGTTTAGCAAATTAGAAGAGTACAAGGATTTTTTTACAAAATTACCTGAAAAGTAGAATGTAGCAAGACAAAACATGCACATCTAGTGTTACAAAAAGACAAGAAAATAGCAGTGTTAACTGGTGTTGCACTCGAAACAATAAATATCTTTAGAAGAATTATAAAGTTATATAACTATAGAGAGTATCTAAAAAGCAAAGACAGAGAGACAGAGCTAATTAAGAGTATAGCAAAATTAATACTTGATGAACAGATTAAAGAAAAACTAATAGAGTATGAGAGTAGAGTAGTCGATTATAGTATAAATGAAATCACAAGTAAAGAGTCACTATATATGCCAATGACAAAGAAAAATAATACAGAATTAGAGCTAAAAGTAGAAAACAAAAGGAAAGCTAATAATAAAGAATTAAAGAAAGTTGTAGCAGAAGAGTTGGTGCATAAACTAGAAAAGATATTACTTGTTACATTGATATTAATAGATACTAAAATCGTAGTAAATACACAAAGGCCAGGTAAAGGTGATAAACAAAAAGAAATGTCAGTAAGGTTAGATACAAACAAAGCAAACCAGAATAAGCTATTTATACTATGGGATTTATCATTGTACAAGCAATAAGGAAATGCTTGGTGGTGACCTAGTGAAGTGGTGGGGTTGCTGCACCCCCAAGCGGCAGGTCTAGAGTTCGAATCCCACGGATGACGATTTTGAAAAT